TTCTTGCGTTTTTCCATCTACCTCAACCAACTGTAGCTGCAACAAAAAATGATCCATAACAGTTGCCCCTCTGTGAAAAAATATCACCTGAAACCTACCCATCAACCTTTTTTTCCCCCAATACATAATCTAACAAACATTTTTTTCTTCTGCTATTTACCTTATAACTATTTACCTCTTTTTTTATAAAATGTTATTACTTATTACCAAACCTCTTTTACACTAGCCAATTTTAACCCCTTTTAGGGTTTTCGGCCGTACTAGTATGGCTACCACCAGGGTCCATGACGTACGTACTATAAATTCTAACACCTTCAAATTATGGGAAAGCTGGGAGGCCTACCCTTTAAAGAAGGGTTTATGGTCTGTTTGGGGAGTATTAAAAAAAAAACCTGCAGCACACAGTGTGTGAGAGAAAAAAAAAATTTTTTACTGTGTTTTTGGGGGTTAAAAAAAATGACTTTGCACATTTTTGTATGATTTTTTGTTTATTTTTTTTGGTCTCATTGTATAGAAGGGAAGGAATTACGAAATTGAGATGATTTTGACTGGTTTTTTAAAGAAAAAAACCTTGAAATTGAGCCAAAGTAGCAGAAATGTTCGTTTTTCCCAAAGTTCAAAAATAAAAAATCAGCTAAGCGTCCAATACATATCAACTGGTGATCAATATTCTTTTACAGGGGGCCGTTTTTTTTTTCCATTTCTACACTTATGCAGTAGCTGCATAAACATAAATCTTCTATTTTTTGTGAAATAAAAATTCAAAGTGGAAAGCAAAAGAAAATTTAAAGGGGGCCTGAAATCATTAAATTTGGGGGGTTTTTTGACCATTCGATAAATGATACAAGTACTGATTTTTTTTCAACTGTCATTGGGAATTGGCTGAAAACAGGTTCAAAATGGGCCCAAAAACGCCGAGCGTAAACACTTCGAGACCCTAACTTCCGAGAGCATAATTCTGTAAGTTTTCCTCAAATTTCTATTTTGGGGTTTTATGTTCGGGAAAAAATTTCTTCTTTTTATAAGATTTTTTTTTTTTTTTTTTTTTTTTTTTTTTTTTTTTTTTAAATTTGGGGGGCCCTGAGAAAAAAGTCTCAAGAGGGGCCTTGGACCCCCCAAATTTACCTTCTACTACCCCCCACCACATTTTTTCCCCCTTGCATTGAAATGCTCAACCACAAGCACCTCGACTTTTGGTTTAAAAAATCCCCCCACATCACTCAACATTTTCCCAAAATCTTTCTCTCCTCTACACTTCCTCTTTCCCCCAGGTGCATATACATTATTATAACCCACTTTTTACATCCCAACCCTTATTTTACTTCACATAATCCTTGAATTAATCCCTTTTATTCCCCTCTTTTCCTGCCATAAACTTTTTCATCAAATTTCTCTCTATTTACTTAATATTATTTTAATTATTATATTAATATTAATATTCATATTTTCTATTAATTGAATTTAAAACTTTACGGATATAGATATTTTCATTTTATTGAAAAAAATATGTTTTATATCCTCACAAATTGTCTTTCCCGTCCAAATTGTTTCTTTGGGAGATAGCAAAAAAAAATCATTTTTTTTGGGACTACGCACATAAGACCAGTTAGGGGGGGTATTATTGACTTCCAGCAGGCAGCTGAGTGTTTGATAGGGGTAAAGGAGACAAATGGTTTTTAATACTTGACGGCTGTTGGGGTGTGGCAAAGAACATTTTTTAAGGGGTTCAGGGGAAAACCGGGAGGCCGGACTTGAGCCGGAGATGGGGAAGTACAGGCCCCACTTGAAGGAGGGGGGGTTAATTTTGCGTTTAAAAACTGTTTGTTAAAGCACCCTTTTGGGAAAAACATGATGGGGGTGAATGAGGTGAAAGTTTTTCTTTTTGGGCCACCCCCTTGGGGGGAATCGGCCAGTGTGATAAAAAAATTAAAAAAATAAAAATTATGCTTCGGCCAAAACCTCACACTTTGGGCCTTTTCTACTTTTTTTTGCCCCGTTTGTTTCTTGGCTATTTTTCCAAAACGTCTCAAATTTTTTTTTTTTTTTTTTTTTTTTTTTTTTTTTTTTTTTTTTTTTTTTTAAAAAATTTTTCCAGCCTATGAACGGATTTTCTTCTTCATTTGACCCTTCTGTTCAATTAGCAAATGTAAACAAAAAAGGGAAACCAAATTTCAAATTAAAATTTGCATTGGGAGAATACCGAAAAAAAAAAGGTGTACCAGACCCAAACTACCTTGGCGAAATAAGTTTTAATTTTAAAATTAAGTTTTTTTTGGTGGTTTTAGCTGATTAGGGTGCATTTCTTTTTCGCCAAAACTTAAAATAATGTCTTTGACAAAACAACCGATGTTGGACATATTTTTGGAATAAATTTTGACCAAATTAACAAGACCAACCATAATTACTAAACTTTTTATACATAAAAAACACATTTGGGCACTCGTATACATAAATCATAAAGATTATGGCTACACACTATACCAAAAAAAATGTTTTAAAATACCCACCTGCCAGTGCCCCCTTTTTACCGAACTGCCTTTCTTTAGTAAACAAGACAAAACAAAATTAAAACCTTTGTAAGGTTCATACTTTTTTCATCAAATAAAACTACATAAGGGGACTAAATGCAAACCTCACCCAAAAAAAAAACACTGCCCCAAATCCACCCAACAACTAATGCCCAACCCAAAATAACAAACAAAAATACACTCACCAAAAAAACATAAAAAATACCATATGCTTTACTGCTGACACCTAAACCTGATACTTTTTTTTTTAGATTTGGTAAAGAAGCTTACCTTAGACACCGAAATGTAACTGATATAAATACCACTACACCATCACAAAAGATTAGGCCAAAAAGTGTCATTAAAAAAGATTTCATAGCATAAGAAAAATTCAGTGGCATAAACTCCATTTAAATTTAAAAAGCCAGGGTTTAGTGCTTACCCATATACTTTAAATTTTTGGGGTTAGCTGAAAGGTTAAGGTAAGGCGATAAGACGTCGATTTTAAATTTTGTATATTTAATATTTTAAAATACAGTGGACCCCCCCAAGCGAAGCCTTGCATAGCGAACAATCCGATAGCGAACGCTTTGTCGCAAAATTTGCCCCGCAAGTGGACAAAAACCCCCTCAGCGACCTTCGTCCGAACCTCCTGTCCCCTCAGCCCCCAATGTGCCGCCCCCCCATTGTTTGAAACAGAAACCACATATGATACAAACTTAAGTACTACATAGAAAACTTTTTACCAAAAGCTCTCACTTAGGAGAAGAACATTAGGAAAACATTTCGGGCCTTTCTGGACCATTGTCAAGTCACAGTTGAGAGAGTCAAGAGGCAAGGAGAGCTAGAAGAGAGAATGGGTGAGGTCGAAGGAAGAGCACAGGAGTACAGTAGTAGTAGCACAACAGTTGTAGTAGTAGTAATTGTAATGAGGACATAATAATGGTAATGATAAAACAAGTGGTGGAAGTAAAATTAGAGTATTAGTGATGAAAGAATTAATAATAATGGAGGAATAGTAATGTAAAGAACAAGAGAACAAAGAAGCACTGAAGGAGGGCTACTGGTCCACAGAACCCACCAAGGCAGAAGACAGGAAAGGCAAAGAAAAAGTTAATGTTGAAGACAGATGAAGTGGAAAAGGAAAATGTGGCAAAGATTAAATCAAGTTAGGAAAGTTGTGTATAAGAGCTGCTTTAACAAGATGGCATTTTTGTAGGCTAGAAGAAGGGTAGATAGTTTTAGTAGGGGGCCAGTTAATGTGATCTCTGGCATGACAGAAAAGAGCATTGTTGGTGTTGCCAAGGCAAACATCTTTCATGTTCTATAATTCTGTCAGAAAGAGAGAGGCCAGTTTTACCAAAGTATAGGAAAGGTTCATTTTATTTCAAAGAACATATGTCTAGAATATCATTCAAATCTTGTTAGCCCTTAAACTGTCCAAACATAGATCTATGTTTTTTCAACATTTGAAAGTATGTAAAAAAATGGAGATCTTTTTTTTTTTTACATTTGAAAACGTATAAAAAAACTTTGATCTACATTTTTTTTTTTTTTTTGCTATATTTGAAAATATGTATAAAAACATAGATCTACTTTTGGAGCACTACACATGTGAACGTAGATCTGTTTGGACAGTTTAAGGGTTAATATTGACACTCATAAGAAATAATAACCTGAATAGCAATAGATTTGGGTGTGAGAAACCCATTGTGCCAGAATTGAATCTGTTTTCTGGATGCTTGTCTTTAAAAATGTTCGATAATTGAAACCCAGGAATGAGGAAGCTCATGAATTTGTTGGAATGACTATATAAACTTTACTTTCCCAGGTCTTTAATAGTTTCTGTTCCTAAGACCTGAATAAGTGGGTAGTGATTTCTGGAAGCATTAACATGTATACTGAGGATTTCTTCCTCATTTCTAGTAAATACTATACCAGATATAGTATCGATGGTGTGTTTTCTGCTTCTACTGGAGATGCTTCTTTAGTGAACTGATTGACTTATTTGTTTTCCATTGCAACCTCATATTTCATCCAAACTGTATCTTTGTAATTGTAATCTCCCCTTATATTGATTTAGCTTTTTTTTTAGTACTCCAGGTCATTTAGTGCAGTAAGTAATTCCTCACTTATTTTGTCAGTTTCTTGTCTCTCATGGTAGATTGTATACACTTACTATTTTGCATTACATGTCTTTATTTTTAATTTCAGTCATTAATATTTCACTTTTGTTTATGTTTCATGTCATGCCTATTTGTAATTACAATTCTAATTTATAGCTGAAGTCCATAACTATGCTCATAGTGTCCTATTTTCAATGTATAATTTATCATAATTTTCACTTAAATTTTTAGTGGTTGTAGTGCTGTGGCTGTGTAATTACTGGTTCATAGTTACAGGAGCAGAGCTGTGCTCATGGTGTCCTGTCTGCATTATTTAGTTTGTCATTTGTATTTTTTTAAGTAACATGGGTGTATGTGTGTGTGTCAGGCCTGTGCTTGAAGTAATTGGTACTGGCAGTCCACAGTCCGCAGCCCTGAGTTGTCACTGCTCCTACTTGGCCACCGTTACACGAGGAGAAGATGCCTTGAACAGACTTTTTATTATCAATATGACTGAAAAAAGGTGAGTGACTTGTTCACAAAGATTACTGGATAGGCCTTTGAATTTTTGTACTTACTCTTGTGCAGTTCTGCCATGATTTTAAAGTTAAATACATGTATAGTACAAACCTTGGTAACTAATACCGACAAATTGGTTTAAAAAGAAACATGAGCAAACACTAGAACAAGTTTATTAGAAAATGTTTGCTCATGTGTCTTTTTAAACCAAAGCCAAATAAAAGTTTCCCCTCATTTTATGTAGTTGTCCTCTGTAAATTTGTTATTATGTAATGTCACATTTCTTTTGGCAATTTCATATGTACAATATACATTTGCTTTGTGTGATTGGTGCTCTTTGCAAAATGTTTTGAAAATTTTTATTATGTGAATAGGTGTTTATAGCCTGACTGAGTTTAACCCCATAACTGTCCAAAAATAGATTTATGTTCTCTCTCCCAGCACTCCAAATATTTTGAAAAAAAAAAAAATGATAATTTTTATATTAATATAAAGAGGACATTTTCTACATGTAAGAGGATAAAAAAAATTTTTTTAGTGTCAGTACTTACCAAGATATAAGACTGTGAAGTTGGCGCTGGATGCTCACATGATGGCAACGTGGAGTCCTGCCGCTTGCAGAAGTGTTGCCGATATACCTTTTTTTCTTGTTTTTTTTTTTTTTTTTTCAATTTATATAATTTTTATGTTCTGATAATTACAATTTGTAGTAGTTGTTGTGATTTCGTAGCCAATGTTTGTTCTGACACTAATATTAGGCACTGAAATAATAATCAAATAGTCATAAACACACTGACAGGTGAACATTTTCACCTGTCTTGGTCACATACTATTGTCTAGAAATATATACAGAGTATTTATAGGTCCCAGCAAGGTTTTAGACAAGGTGGAGTATATATGAAACTCATTGATGCATGGTGTAAGACAAGTGTCGCTCTACTGCTGACAGTACAGCAGTGGAGTGGCATTTGATGATCGTGCACTGCCTTGGATTTATTTATTTTCGATGTTACATCTCTCTCTCTGTCTCAGAGAGAGTCACTCATGAACCAACAGGTAATACACACGATGCAGAGTTGTCACGTCTGATTTCTGAACAAGTGAAAATGCATATTACTTGCCAGTCATGCTTATTATGCATTAAATCTACAAGCACAATATACCACTTTGTCTGGATTTTTTTGGGTTATCCTAACCATACCATGGGTGGGGTTAGAACTCACTATCAGAGAGTCATAAAACTCCAGACTGACACATTAGCCACTGGACCAGCCAGCCACAATAAGATTCATCCAACTAGGTGTATTTATACACCATGGGAAGGTTAGCATAGGCACCACTGTGACCACAAATACAAGTTTTTACAGACGAATCTTCAGCTAGCGTGGCTGTGACGAACTCTAGCTCAGGTCCACTCATGATTTCGTGAGTTAAGTTGGGTTATCCTAGGTAATTTACACTATGTATAATTGTATTTATGTGTACCTGTGAGATAGAGACAGAGATAGCTACAGACAGACAGGTAGAGACAGCCAAAGTCAATCAGCCACCCAGCCAACCTGCCGAACGCATATTACACATTCCAGAATTGTTTCTCTTTATTTAGGGCATAGGTTATAGGACATTCTGGCAGGATGACACTACCAGTGGTACCAAAATTGAAAGGATGTTGCACAAATGTTTCACATGGGTTATCATCAAGGTTTTTGATATTTCCTTGACCACTTGTGGTCACATCCACCTTAAAGCCACTAAATTTGGGGTCAACATCACTTTCCTCTTAACCCTTTGAGGGTCGACAGGCCCTCTCCGAAACTCGTTCTCAGGGTCGGCCAAATTTCAAAAAAAAAAAAAATTATTTTTTCTTATGAAAAAATAGAGTTTTTTTTTCTAAATATTATAGGCTAAACAAAAAAATTTTACCGTCAATACTTACCGAGATATGGAGGCGTGAAGTTTGCCAAAATTGAACAACATCTGGTAACATCGCCGACTGCCGTCACCCGGTATTTTTCTATTTAATTTTTTATGTACTATTTTCAATTATTTTTCAATTTTTCTTTTTCTGAGTAACTTTTATGGCCTCTGAGGCCAACATGATCAGTATTTTGTAAGTTATTTCTTTTTCAATACTACACAATAAGGGCGTAAACACTGTTGTCATTATTTTGTTTACAAAAAATATTTACACAAACAAACGATATGAAATGTTGCTTATTACTATTTTTCTATATTTTATATACACATATACAGTCACAGGAATGTTTCTAGAAGTTCTGCAGCCTGTGGAAGTCTTTGAAACATGGTGTCATGCACAGTGGTGTTTTACATTCCTCACACATAAAACGAGTGTCTCTGCGTTGTTGTGGGCGTTTTTTTGTATGTGAACAGACATAACACCTCTTCTGAGCCTTTTTCTTGAAAGCAGTAGCAGGCACTTTTACCAGGAAGTGATCACCATGCTTCAGACGAGCAGGTAGTTGTTGATAATTTGGTGGGCGGTCAATTGCAGGTGCTGTTCCTTGGTACTTGAATACTATTTGTCTGATGACAGACAAACAGAATTCGCCATACTGTGGTTTGTTTCTGGTCCTCATCTTATACATATTATAAGCATTGAGCATGGAAATGTCCAGAAGATGGAAAAACAGTTTGATGTACCACTTATAACTCTTGCGAACACAATCAGCAAACCCAATCTGCATGTCACATTTGTCCACTGAACGCGTGTTGAAGGTGTAATCAATCACAGCTGCAGGTTTTAGAATGGGTTCATTGCTCTCTCTATGCTGCCTGCCACTGTCTGCCATTTCATTAGGGTGAACTGATGACAACAGTGTGACATCTCGTTTGTCATGCCACCGAAATGCCATGATGTCATTGGCAGCAAACGCCTGCACCTCACCTCTACGAGTGCCAGCGTCAAACCTGGGCATATGTTTCTGATTTGCACGCACTGTGCCACACACATCTGTCATGTTCACTCGCAAAAAAATCACTGAGTGAGGGGCTTGTGTACCAGTTATCTGTATATAATATATGCCCCTTACCAAGGTATGGTTCTATCATTGTTCTAACCACATCACCTGAGATGCCCAATAACTTCCTGGTATTTTGCAATGTATAACTTCCAGTGTACACAATAATATCCAATACCAGACCACTGTAACAATCACAAAGCACAAACAACTTCATACCAAAGCGTTTCCTCTTGCTTGGTATGTACTGCTTGAAAGAGAGTCTTCCTTTGAACAGAATCAAAGACTCGTCAATTACAAGCTTCCTGAAGGGATAAAAATGCGTACTGAATTTCTCTTTCAGATACACAAACACATTCCTAATCTTATATAACCTGTCAGTTCTGTCAGGCCTGGTTTTGTCTGAGAAATGAAGCATACGTAACATTAGCACAAATCGATTCACTGGCATTATATCACTGAAACCTGGGGTTGCAATCAGGCGGTCTGTTGACCAGTATGATTTCACTTTGTGCTTATACACATGTGGCATAAGCATTATTGCGGCAAAGAAAAGATACATCTCAGCCACAGTTGCCTCCTTCCACTGGTGTAGACGTGATTTTGGTGAAAGTAATGTGTTTGCCATGGTGTACTCGTAGTATGTGTTGCTTTCCATGACAATACTTTCCATCAGTGGTTCGTCAAAGAATAACTCGAAACATTCCAGTTCAGTGGCATTGTTCCCAAGTGTACAAGATGGCCGTATTCCACTTTGGCTGTCATCAAACTGGTGGGCATTTGGAACAAAATTGACAGCTTCCTGCCAATCCCAGGTGTGGTCTGCTGGTGGGTACTGGACAATGACAGGTGGTTGTGGTTGTGGAGGTTGTGGTTGTGGAGGCTGGTGTGGTGAGTGGGTGGGGGATGGTGGCCTTTGTTGTAGATCAGCTGAGGCAGCGGCGTGGGTAGCAGCATGGGTGGCAGCATGGCCCACTGCTGGTGCCTCACCGCCGGCACCACTACCACCACGCACTTTTCCATCCCAATTGCAACAGTATCATTGTCATTTTCACTCTCTGTTCCTGTTGTACAGCCATGGGATGTACTCCGAGATGCACTCCTTCCCCTTGGAATAGCATATGGCACACTACCAGAGCGCATATATCGTCGTATATACTGACGCTTCACTGGGGAATATTGCACTTCACTATCACTACTGGAACTAGTTTGAAGAGCTTGTAGTTCATATTCACTATCACTATCATCACCCATGCTCTCATCTGAGTCTGGGATTTGGGAAAATAGAAGTTTCCTCTTGGATTCTGGTACAACTGAACGTGAACAAGATGGCCCAGCACCAGAGGTGGAAGGCTGAGGGTCGTCTGGGTTTTCCTCACTATTACCGATATTATGGTCATTAGTTTCGGTCAAAACCTCACCAAAACCTTGAAACTCATCTTCACTGGCACTTCCATCTGTATTAGAACTGTCACTGGGGAACAAAAGTGTCCCAATTCGCCGAGGAGTGAGGAGCTTCTTACCGCGAGGCATGGTGGACATTGTTTACTAAGATAGTGTTCCCACAATGCACCACTGGTCCCAGATTTTTTTTCTACCGCGCACACCGACCACACAGACCCATTCTCTCACATGTAGGCCTACCAGCCTTTTCCCGCGAGATTTGACGGCGCTAGAATTTGTGCGTACTAGTACGTCAAAAACCCCTACACGTAAGACGTACTAGTACGTCCGAAACCCTCAAAGGGTTAAACGGGGAGTGTTAATAGGACATTACATCAGTGAATCCCTGGTGTCTGCCATGTTATTTGCTCTAGCTGGCGCTCAGTTGAACTGGTGCTCCCACAAGGTACTAAGTGGTCCCAGATTTTTTAGTACTGCTCACACCAAGTGTTAAGACCCATTCTATACTGACCAGGCATCTCAGGCCAGTCATGCTAAATTTGGAGGCGAGAAAAATAAAATGTTGATCTACATTTGGACAGTTAAGGGGTTAATACAGCTGTCATGGTCTTGAGACAACCATGGCAAAAAGCAAGAGACATCTGTAGGAAGCTAGTATGATCCTTTGATCTGTGAGTCTCAGCAATTCAAAAGTCTTATTTTAGTATTCTGTATTCAAAAATACATACCAGTAAAAATTACAATCCTCCCAGAAAATACTGTACAACATGAAATTAATATTATCTTATATGTTTACACTGTTAAAATAATTACAGTTGTACTATACTACTACTTTTTGTACTATATAAATAACAGAGGTATGTCGCTATACATTTTGGCACCTCTAACATGTATAGTTTCTAAAGTACATTACCTTCTTTTGAATCATCTTAATTATATTTAATATTCTTGATAAGTTAATTGTACAGTAATGTGCAGGAACATTTACAAATCTCTTTTTATTATTTGATCCCAATATTTACTAGAAATTTCTTATGTAAAAATATATAGGATATTCATTTGTAAAATCTGTAGCTTCATCATTATTTAATTATACATTTTCTCCCATTCATTTGGTTTGTTCACTACATTAATGAATTAAAATTTCCAGATTCTATTTGCTGAAAAGATTGATTGAACCATGCACAGCTTTGTTATTCCACCCTTACCAAGAGAACACCCTCTTTCTTGCTACAGCTTCATGTAAAGTGTATAGTATTAATGTAGGTAAGTGCTACTGGCAAAACCTTACACTTTTTTTTAAATGATTGAGACCTTTTACAGAGTCGTAAAGAAATCTTAAGAATCATTATGATTATTATGCTGAAGAGAATCCCAGCAGGGGGTCGAAATACAGTGGAACCCTGAGTTTCGGCCGCCCTGAGTTTCAAACCGCTTTTTTCCACTAAATTTTGTCCCAAGTTTCTCGCCGTTTCCCCATATTTCAGCCGGCGTACCAGACCTGTCTGCCTGCCTGCCTGCACCTGTGCGCCTCCCCGTGCAAGCATTGTGAACCAGTCTAGCTTTGTTTATCCTTGAGTGAACATTACCCTGTGCGCTTAATATCCAAACATTTCACAATAAATTCATTGTGTTTAGTGCTTGTTTATTGTTTGTACTGTGAAAAAAGCCCACCATGGCCCAAAGAAACTTCATAATGGCAGTGAAGCAGTGTTGAAGCATGTTAGGCAGTGTATGGGCAGGGTGAGAGTTTTGTGCAGTATGGAGGAAGTGTGGAGGCAGAGGTTGGGCAATAATAAGTCCATATTTACTATCCTCTTTCATATCTTTCCAGATATACATAGTCATTCAATACTTATATTAGTGTATTTTAAATGTTTATTTAAATGGTTTATATATCTGATTAAATATTTAATTCTACAATGTACTCAGATTTCAAACTTTCTTCGTTCCAGAATGTGTTCATCGAAGTGCGTTAACGATATCTTTGCTTCCCACAAGAATAATGTAAATTACATTAGTCCTTTTCAACCCCAAAAATCATTTACAATAACTTACAATATACACTTTCAGATGGTCAAGATCTAGGATAGTTTCGAATATCAGAGACCACGAGTATGTGGGTTTAGTAACTAATGTTCTTAAGCTATCGTTATTCTTTAACCTGACTTTTTTCACGTACATATCCGTCTTACAAGCCACGTTTCCTATTTGCATAGTACTCAAATTCTAGCTGCTTCAAACTTAAGCTCCAGGAAAAAGCTTGTAACGGCCCATGTTGAGCAATTGGGTCGTGTGACCGCTGTGCACCTATAAAAAAATTACCTGCAGCACTCAGTTGCATTAGATGAGATAAAAAATTGGACGTGATATTTCTTGTCAATTTTTTAATTAAATGCCGAATTTGTGGTCTATTTCGTATAATAATTATGGTTTATTTTTTTTTCTTGGTTCAATCAATTTGTGGTATTTGTAAGTATTGATACTTTTTGGACATTTGATGAATGAAACCAGAAATAGAGGTGATTTTGATTGGTTTTACTATGAAAAAACCTTGAAATGGAGCTCAAAGTAGTTGAAATGTTTGATTTTTGCCGATGTTCAAAAGTAAACAAATGTCATTTTCCAATAAATGTCCAAGTAGCCATTCTAATACACAGTCATGAATGGGTTGACATTATTTATTCAATTATTACAGTATTGCAGTAGTGTGCATAACAGTAAATCTTCTATTTTTTTGTTTGAATAAAATTTCAAAATAGAAAGCAAGAGTAATACCAGAGGGGCCTGGAGACATGACTGATGAACAAAGAAAATGTTATTTTAGAGCCAGGAATGTCTGCATTGTTCATTCTGGACCCTATTTTGAAATTGTCATATTTTTTAATTTTCGTGAAATTGGCCAAATTGCACATTTCTGACCACGTTATTGGGTAGTTGAAATTGGTAAATGGGCAATTTCTTGTACTAAATCGATAGAAAAAATGGAGTTCTAAAGAAATAGCTATGAGTTTGATCAACTGGAACAATGGAATTAGCCGAAAATAGGGCTCAAAGTGGGCGAAATTGCCGATTCGTAAATGTCGCCAAGGTTGCTAACTTTGCAAGAGTGTATCCGTCAGTTTTCCATCAAATTTTGTTCTTTTGGTGTCATTACAATCGGGAAAAGATTCTCTATCATTTCATTTTTTTTTTTTTTTTTTTTAATTTTGTGGCACCAGGAGACACCTCAGGATTTGGGGTTGCAACAGTCAAGGGGTTAAGAAATGTATTTTTTGTGAATATTTTTGTGGGTCTGGAATGGATTAATTGTATTTACATTATTTCTTATGGATGGATAATGGGAACCTTCAAAACTAGGGAGGCCAAGCCCATGATGACACTCTTCAGGTCACTTGTTCTATCTAGGCTGGAATATTGCTGCACACTAACAGCACCTTTCAAGGCAGGTGAAATTGCTGACCTAGAAAATGTACAGAGAACCTTCACGGCGCGCATAACGGAGATAAAACACCTCAATTACTGGGAGCGCTTGAGGTTCCTAAACCTGTATTCCCTGGAACGCAGGCGGGAGAGATACATGATTATATACACCTGGAAAATCCTAGAGGGACTAGTACCGAACTTGCACATGAAAATCACTCACTACGAAATCAAAAGACTTGGCAGACGATGCAACATCCCCCCAATGAAAAGCAGGGGTGCCACTAGCATGTTAAGAGACCATACAATAAGTGTCAGGGGCCCGAGACTGTTCAACTGCCTCCCAGCATACATAAGGGGAATTACCAACAGACCCCTGGCAGTCTTCAAGCTGGCACTGGACGAGCACCTAAAGTCGGTTTCTGACCAGCCGGGCTGTGGCTCGTACGTTGGTTTGCGTGCAGCCAGCAGTAACAGCCTGGTTGATCAGGCTCTGATCCACCAGGAGGCCTGGTCACATACCGGGCCGCGGGGGCGTTGACCCCCGGAACTCTCTCCAGGTAAACTCCAGGACTTTTGGCTGTTTCAAGTTTAGGCCTAGCTCCTGGAACGGATTATGACCGAAACTCGCGGTTCCACTGTATACAGAGTTCCTATAGTTCTGTTTCTGAGTTTTTGTCTCTGTGAATTATTATTGAGCATTACACTTTGTTTACGATGAGCACAGAGTTAAGTTTATAAAAGACACTTGAGTAAAAACCATGTCATATTTGTTAGAAAACATTTCAGTCCTGGGACCTTGATCACTTCTGATCATAAATATGTACATGTGTCTTTTTGAAACCATATGTCAGTATCACTTACCAAGGTTCATACAACAAAATTAGGTGACTGCTACGTTGAGAATGGTATGCTGTGTATGGCGCTGTATGACCCTAATGGGTTTAGTGCTTTGTTCTAATTTTAATAATAATAATAATGAGGTTGTGGCAGAAGGAATCTAGATGCTGTATGTGCACACTTGTTGGTGACAATTGCAAATTCAGTCTTGTTCTTGCTAATCTTGGATGCTAAAAAAAAAAAAGGAAAAAAAATTGTTTTTACACAGTGTTCACTGTTAGTTAAGTGTTAGATGATAGGTTCTCTTTAAAAGGAATTATAGTTAAGATTCATATATAATTAGATATAGCAATTTAGAATTACAGGTCGGCCATCACTAATCCGGCAATCAGTTATCCAGTTCCATCAGTAATCTGGCACTAATTTCGGCTAGCATAATTTCAAATTTCATCATTATACTGACTCAAATTTCATCATTATACTGACTCAAATCTTTGTACTGACTCAAATTTCATCATTATACTGACTCAGAAATTGTGCAGATGGTTGTAAATCCACAGCAGCAAGTCAGTGGAGGAGAAGGCAGTGATGAAAATGAGGAAGATGTAACAGAAAGTCTCTATTGATAGATTAATTAAGTGTATTCTAACCTAACCACTCTGTAATCTGGCAAACTCACTAATCTGGCACACTACAGGTCCCAATGATGCCGGATTAGTGATGGCCGACCTGTATTGCAATTAATAAAATTATTTATTTATTAACACGTTGGCTGATTCCCACCAAGGCAGGGTGGCCCAAAAAAGAAAAACTTGCATCATCATTCACTCCATCACTGTCTTGCCAGAGGGGTGCTTTACACTACAGTTATAAAACTGCAGCATTAACACCCCTCCTTCAGAGTGCAGATACTGTACTTCCCATCTCCAGGACTCAAGTCTGGCCTGCCAGTTTCCCTGAATCCCTTCATAAATGTTACTTTGCTCACTCTCCAACAGCACGTCAAGTATTAAAACCCATTTGTCTCCATTCACTCCTATCAAATACACTCACGCATGCTTTCTGGAAGTCCAAGCCCCTCGCACACAAAACCTCCTTTACCCCCTCCCTCCAACCTTTCCTAGACCAACCCCTACCCTGCCTTCCCTCCACTACAGATTTATACACTCTTGAAGTCATTCTGTTTTGTTCCATTCTCTCTACATGTCCGAACCTCCTCAACAACCCTTCCTCAGCCCTCTGGACAACAGTTTTGGCAATCCCGTACCTCCTCCTAACTTCCAAACTATGAATTCTCTGCATTGCCCTCAGACATAACATCTCCACTGCCTTCAGCCTTCTCCTCACTGCAACATTCATCACCTATGCTTCACACCCATATAAGAGCATTGGTAAAACTATACTCTCATACATTCCCCTCTTTGCTTCCAAGGACAAAGTTCTTTGTCTCCACAGACTCCCCTCATCAATTCTATGATTCACCTCATCTTTCATAGACCCATCTGCTGACATGTCCACTCCCAAATATCCTCCATACTCTCTCCCTCCAATCTGATGTCCACTCTTTCATCAGTGAGCATATAACAACCAACAAGATTAAAAAACATTGCATTCATAACTTGTAATGCTGTATTTGGGTTTAATCTTAGGACCAGATATGACTGATTTTGTGTCATTCATTATAATAACTATTTATTCAGTGGACCCTTGGGTAACGATACCATCGGATAGCGATAAAATCGGATATTGATGCGTCTTTGCGTAAAAATATTGGCTCGGCCAATGATGAAAAACTCGGTTAGGGACATTCGTCCTGAACACGTCCGCACGGCCTGGCCTGCCCGCGGCTGCCCAGCCACTATGTACACCCAGTGTGCCATTGTTTACAAGCAAGGGCAGACGGTTCCACGCATACATTCAATACATTTTGTATTATTCCATTGTGTTTAGTGCTTGTAACTGCTAAATAAGCCACCATGGGCCCAATGAAAGCTTCTAGTGCCAACCTTGTGGTAAAAAGGGTGAGAAATACTATCGAACTGAAGAAAGAGATAATCGCAAAGTATGAAAGTGGAGTGCGTGCCTCTGAGCTGGCCTGGTTGTATAACAAACCCCAATCAACCATCGCTACTATCTTGGCCAACAGAAAGGCAATCAAGGAAGCTGTTGTTGCGAAAGGTGCAAGTATGCTTACAAAACAGAGATCGCAAATACTCGAAAATGTGGAGAGACTGTTATTGGTGTCAATCAACGACAAACAATTATCAGGAGATAGTGTTTCATAGTCAATCATATGTGAAAAGGCAAGGCAGTTGCATGCGGATCTCATTAAAAAGATGCCTGGAACTAGAGGTGATGTTAGTGAATTTAAGGCCAGCAAAGGTTGGTTTGAGAGATTTAAGAATCATAGTGGCATACACGGTGTGATAAGGCATGGTGAGGCTGCCAGTTCTGACCAAAAAGCAGCAGAAAAATATGTGCAGGACTTTAAGGGGTACATAGAGGCTGAAAAATTAAAGCCCCAACAAGTGTTCAGTTGTGACGAAACAGACCAGCTTTGGAAGAAAATGCCAAACAGGACCTACATTACTTAGGAGAAAAAGGCACTCCCAGGACACAAGCCTATGAAAGACAGGCTAATTCTCATGTTTTGGAAAGATCACTTCAGTATCCTCAGTTGCATAAACCTTATAGGTAATGCTTGGGAGGGAGTGACTTGCAGGATTTTGAACTATGCTTGAAGGAAATTGTGGCCAGAATGTGTACAAGAGAGGGATTTTGAAGGGTTTGGGGGCTAACCCTGAGGAGCCTATACCAGTTGTGGAATCTATTGTGTCATTGGGGAAGTCCATAGGGTTGGAGGTAAGTGGTGAGGATGTGGAAGAGTTGGTGAAGGACGATTATGAAGAGCTAACCACTGATGAGCTGCAAGAGCATCTGCAACAGCAAGAGACCACAGCTGAGGAAATTGCTTCAGAGGAGAGAGAGAGATGGAGGAAGTTGCCTTCTTCAATGATTAAGGACATTTGTACAATGTGGACAGAGGTGCAAGCCTTTATGGATGAACATCACCCTGACACAGCTATTACAAGCTGTGCTGGTGACTTTTACATTGACAGTGTTGTGTCCCATTTTAGGGAAATCTTAAAGGAACACCAGAAACAGAGCTCTATGGACAGATTTTTGGTGCGGCAGAGGTCCAGTGACTGTCAAGTTGTTCCCAGTGGCATTAAAAAACAAAGAAGGGAAGTAACCCCAGAAAAGGACTTGCTACCTGAAGTCCTTATGGAAGGGGGTTCCCCTTCCAAACAATAATAGGGCACCTCTATCATCTCCCCTCCTCCCATCTCATCACTCATCAGTAAATCTTCAATAAAGGTAAGTGTCATTTATTCTTCATGTTTTTATTCTTCATGTATTTATTCTTCATGTATTTATTCTTCATGTCTCAGTGTTTTCTGTGTAGGAAAAATGTATATTTCATGTGAAAAAAAATTACTTTTAATACTTTTGGGTGTCTGGAATAGATTAATTGGATTTCCATTATTTCTTATAGGGAAAATTAATTCAGCTAACGATAAAATCGGTGAAGGACAAGCTCTCTGGAACGGATTAAAATCGTTACCCGATTGTCCACTGTAGTACTAATCACTTTTTAGTAGAATTTATAAGGATATGTTTATTTACATTTTCTCTTCTTTTTCGTATTTCTTGATATACAGCCATTGTAAAGTCTTTTGACAAAGTACCCTGTGAAATACAGGCTCTCCTCACTTAATGACAGAGTTCCGTTCCTAAGACCACTGCGGTAAACGAATTCATTGTTAAACAAGAAGCATGCTATAGTGGTAGTGGGTTTGTGTCAACCATCTTTGATATTGTTTTAATGTCATCTTTGCACCATTTATAACATTTTTAGTATAGTATTTGTAAATGTTTATACAGTAGTGTACTGTATATTGTAATAAACAGAATAGAGGAAATCAGCTCTAATATACATTGCTTAGGTATGCATATTGGTCAGAGAGCCTGTCATAAATTCGAGTCGTCAGTAAATGAGTACGTCACTAAGTGAGGAGGGGCTGTAGTCTCACTTGGGAGGTTAGATACACATGTATGACAAAACCATACCAGTGTATCAAATGCTTTTATATTATAATATACATATACATGTACAGTATTTTCAACAGATGATGATTCTGTGATTGTAATGGAAGGCCATACACTCCCTGTTGAGAGAATTCAGTCAGGGCTGCGCTCCCCCCTGGTTGTAACCCATAATGATAGGGAGGTGCTACTATGGTCATGGCCATCAGTTGTCCTCACTAGCAAGATGCGGCACGATGACAGACTTAAAGTAATTTGGGTAAGATTTGATAATTATCTTTTATTTCTGTACAGTGTTTTTCTTGTTACAGTAAATGTAGCATCATCCAGACTTAAAAGACAATACAGTGGAACCTCGGCTTACGAGTTTAATCCATTCTGTGACCTTGCTCGTATCCCAATCCGCTAGTATGTTGAGTCAGTTTTCCTCATTTAATTTAATTGAAATGCCATTAATCCATTCCAGCGGAATTCCTGCTCACTTTGTGTACATAAAATGAGGTAAATATGAGTTTTGTGTGATTAACTGACTTAATGAATGACTGAATGACTTATTGACATGACTGAATGACTTGACTGAATGATTTACTCACATGACTGAATGACTTACTGACTTGACTGAATGACTTACTGACATGACTGACTGACTTGACTGACTTACTAACTACTTACTGACTTAACTGACTGACTAACTGACTTGACTGACTGACTTACTTGACTGACAGACTTACTGACTTAACTGACTGGCTTACTGACTTGACTGACTGACTGAATGATGTGACTGGCTGAATGACTTGTCTGACTGTATGACTTAACTGACTGACTTACTGACTTGACTGACTGAATCACTTGACTGACTGAATGACTTAACTGACTGACTGAATGACTTTAAGTTAGACTTTTTCACTGAAGAGGACCCTGAAACGATGTCTAGAGCAGCTGATGCCTTACCATCAGCTGTATGATGTACTGCCGGGTAAAATAGAACAGAAATCCATTACATAATATATGCATGCTCCAGTACAACCATCAACTTCAGTACCAGAACCTCTACCATCCACCTCAGCCCAGTAGGGCCACAACATAACTCTCCACTCTCTTCACAATCATCCACAAACACCAGCACCCACAATTTAAGCTAAGAAATACTATTACTTCTGTTGCAGTTGTAGTCTTAAGCAGTAAAAACAACATAATACATCACAACAATGAACTACAATTATATATTCACTTTTATTTTTGTAAGATCTGGAGGTCTAAATAAAAGTTGTTTAAGGGGGAAGCTTGCACCCTGAATTTTTGCTCATATCCAGAAACAAAAAAATCAACAAAGTGACTGCTCCTATCCTGAAAAACTTGTATGATGGGGCACTCATAAGCTGAGGTTCCACTGTACTAGTACTTGGTGAATAACCACAATTTGCTAAGGGTTTGCAAAAGTATAAAATTACTATAAGCAGCTCAGTCAGTTTTTTCCATGCCTAACATTATAACTTATATACATATATATATTAAAAAATACAATTAAATCATATTGTTGATAGTATTTTATTTATACAGGTCTGCCATCACAAATTCGGCATCATTAGGACCTGTGGTGTGCTGCATTACAGAGTGCTTAGGTTAGAATACACTTAATAAAATTAACCAACTTGGCTAAGAAAGATCATTGAACATCAGCAAAAATCGAACATTTCCGTTACTTTGAGCTCAATTTCAAGGTACTTTTCATCATGAAACCAATCAAAATCGTATCTATTTCTGTAATATATCTTCTATTCTATCAAATGAGACCAAAACAACAAGAGTACAACCATAAAAACCATATGAAAATATACTGCAAAGAGGCAGCTAATGGCTGAGAAGTGAACTCCATTATTTATTGTCTGATTTTTTTCATTTTTGGTGTATGTTAACCCTTTCAGGGTTTCAGATATACTAGTATGGCTTACTCACCAGGGTTTATGACGTACTAGTACGCCTAAATTCTAGCGCCCTCAAATCTAGTGAGAGAAAACTGGTAGGCCTACATAGGAAAGAATGGGTCTATGTGGTCAATGTGCACAGTATAAAAAAAACCCTGCAGCACACAGTGCATAATGAGAAAAAAAACTGACCGTGTTTTTGGATTAAAACAGCGACTTTGCACTGTATTTTCGTATGGTATTTATTGTTGTATTCTAGTTTTCCTAGTCTCATTTTATAGAATGGAAGACATATTACAGAAATTGAGATGGTTTTGACTGGTTTTACAATGAAAAGTACCTTGAAATTGAGCTCAAAGTAGCAGAAATGTTTGATTTTTACCGAAGTTCAAAAGTAAACAAATCATGCTAAGCATCCAATACACGTCAGCTGGTGAGTCTAATATTCTTTCACAAGTGCGCCAATATTATTTATACCATTTCTACACTAATGCAGTACTCTGCATAACAGTAAATCTATTTTTTTGTGAAAATAAAAATTCAAAGTGGAAAGCAAAAGAAATGTAAGAGGGGCCTGGGGATGTGACTAATGAACAGAGGAAATGTTATTTTAGTGCCAAGAATGTCTTTCTTGTTTATTCTGGACCCTATTTGAAAATTGGCATCTTTTGAAATTTGTGTGAAATTGGCAAAATTGCTAAATTCTGACCACTGTATTGGATAGTTGAAATTGGTAAATGGGTGGTTTCTTGTACTCATTCGATAGAAAAAATAGAGTTCTAGGGAAATTGTTATGATTTTTGTCGACTAGTACACTGGAATTGGCCGAAAATAGGGTTCAAAGTGGGCAAAATCACCGATGTCGTAAACATCGTCGAGACTGCTAACTTCGTGAGAGCATAATTCCATAAGTTTTCCATCAAATTTCTTACTCTTGGTGTCATTATGGTCGGGAAAAAATTCTCTATCTTTTCATAAGTTTTTTTTTTTTTTTTTTTTTTTTTTTTTTTTTTTTTTTTTTTTTTTTTTTTTTTTTTTTCTTTCTTTTTTTTTTAATTTGGGCAACCCTGAGAACAAGTCTGGGAGAGGGCCTGGGGACCCTGAAAGGGTTAAGAAGCATCTTTCCATCATACATTGCCCAAGTTTCAATAAGATAGCCCAAGAAGCCACTGAGAAAAAAAAAAATACCAAAAATCACATATGGCAAGCCCAAGCCAGGTACTGGAAATAAGTCACTTTGACTTTTTTGGGTTATCCTAGGTTCTCTATACATACGCTGCTGTGTATGATAATCTATGTAACTGTATTTGTGTGTACCTGAATAAACTAACTTCTATTCTGTCAACTGAGTACAAGAAACTGCCCATTCACCTATTTCAACTAACCAAGTAAGTGGTCAGAAATTGGCAATTTGGCCAGTGTTGCACAAATTTCAACAGATGCCAATTTCAAAATAGAGTCCAGATTAAACAGTGCAGACATTCCTGGCACTAAAATAACATTTTCTTTGTTCATTAGTCACAGCTCCAGGCCCCTCTTATATTACTCTTGCTTGCCATATGGAATTTTTATTTGCACAAAAAATAGAAGATTTACTGTTATGCACTACTGCATTATTGTAGTAAGTGTATAAATAATGTCACTACATTCATGTCTGCGTATTGGAATTTGGACTGGCAGGTGGAAACGTATTAAGATGGTGAGATGGTGACATCATTTGTTTACTCTTGAACATTGGCAAAAATCGAACATTTCCTCCACTTTCAGCTCAATTTCAAGGTACTTTTTGTCATGAAAGCAATCAAAATCATATCTTCCATTCTATCAAATGAGATCAAAAAACGAGAATACAACCATAAAAACCATGTGAAAATATACTGCTAAGGGGTGGCTAATGGCTGAGAAGTGAACTCCGTTACTTATGATCCGATTTCTTTCATTTTTGGTGTACGTTAAGAAGCGTCTTACCATCATGCATTGCCCAAGTTTTAATAAGATAGTCCAACAAACAACTGAGAGAAAAAAAATAATTATTATAATAATAATAATATGTGTAGAAAGAGGTTTGGTAATAAGTAATACGTATTTTATGATAAAGAGGGTAAATAAATATACTAGGTATGATATAGCACGTAATGAAAGTACGTAGTTTGTTAGATTATATATTGGTGGATAAAAGGTTGATGGGTAGGTTGAGGGGCAACTGATATATCGGATCATTATTTAGTTGTAGCTACAGTTAGAGTAAGAGGTAAATGGGACAAAAGGAAAATGACAACAAGTAAGAGAGAGATGAAAGTGTATAAACTAAGGGAGGAATAAGTTTGGGTGAGATATAAGCAACTATTGGCAGAAAGGAGGCTAGTGCAACTATGAGTATTGGGGGGGGTTGAAGAGGGTTGGAATACATAGTTTTAAAAAGGCAGCATTATAATGTGGGGCAGAAGTTTGTGGCTATAGGAGGGTGGGTGTAGGAGGAAAGGGGAGTGTTTGGTGGAATGAGGAATTGGTGGAAAAAGGTAGATTAAGAGAGCAGAGTATATGGAGAGTAAAGAAAGGTGAAGAGAGTGGTGAGAGAGTGTAAAAGGAGAGCAGATGATAGAGTGGGAGAGGCACTGTCAAGAAATTTTGATGAAAATAAGAAAAAATTTTGGAGTGAGATAAACAAGTTAAGAAAGCCTAGGGAACAAATGGATTTGTCAATTAAAAACAGAGTAGGGGAGTTAGTAGATGGAGAAATGGCGGGAATATTTTGAGGAACTTTTAAATGTCGATGAAGTGAGGGAGGCGGTAATTTCATGCACTGGCCAGGGAGGTATACCATCTTTTAGGAGTGAAGAAGAGCAGGATGTGAGTGTGGGGGAGGTGCACGAAGCATTACGTAGAATGGAAGAGGGTAAAGCAGCTGGAACTGACAGGATAAGGTCAGAAATGTTAAATGCAGTGAGGATATAGTGTTGGAGTGGTTGGTATTTTGTTTAATAAATGTATGAAAGAGGGGAAGGTACCTAGGGATTGGCAGAGACCATGTATAGTTCCTTTATATAAAAGGAAGGGGGACAAAAGAGATTGTAAAAATTATAGAGGAATAAGTTTACTGGGTTCTCCATGGGGAAGTGGAACAGAATTCTTCCTCAGTAAGTAATGGGTGTTGTAAGATGCGACTAAAATGCCGGGAGCAAGGAGCTAGTAACCCCTTCTCCTGTATAAATTACTAAATTTAAAAAGAGAAACTTTTGTGTTTTCTTTTGGGCCACCCCGCCTCGGTGGGATACTGCCGGTGTGTTGAAAGAAGAAGTTTACTGAGTATACCAGGAAAAGTGTATCATAGGGT